CTCACTAAATTGGCCAGGCTGGCCTCAAACTTGTGATCCTCCTGCTTCAGCCTCCAAAATCACTAGAATTACACTTTTTTCTTTAGCAGATTTTTTTTTAGATTTCTGCTTTGTTTCCCTTGGGAATGGAACCCAGGCCAGGGCCTTCTGCACGCTAGGCAAGCACTCTGACCACTAAGCTACCTCCCCAGCCCTCTTTACTGCTATTTTTTAATGAATCACAGAATTATAATATACTTTCTTTAAGAAAAATTAATTTCTGAAGAGCATAAATAAAAATAAAACCCCATCCAATCTCATGCCACCATTTCTTCCAAATCCCACTTTCACTATTAATCTTTTATCATTATTCTGATGATGATTATTCTGCGAAAAAAAAAAAAAAAGTTGTCTTTTTTTCTGTAGGTGCAGAAACTATATATAACATTCAAATCACTCCTGGTGATTAAAATATGCAAACTGTTCTGAAATTGAGTCTTTTCACGGAGCCCAGGCCCTGGCCACCCCCACGTCCGCACACTGGTGTCACCCCTCTTCCTTGGCCACACAGGACTCCCAAGTGCGGTGGGGTCAGAATTTGCCCTGGGCCCCTGTTCCGTGTTTTCGTTACACCTAAGCGTCTGCACCCCCTGGTCAGCCAGGGAGAGCTCCCTAAAACGAACATTCTAGGAGCTTTAAAAAAAAAATGCTGTGGCTTTGGTCCTCTTGTCCTTTAAGACAGGCTGTGTCCACTGTTCAGGTCTCTAAGTGAGACTCCAAGCCACAAGTCACAAATTGAGGGACCTGGGAGCCATCTGGAGCAGACAGATTGAAGCCCAGGGAGGTGTGACCACAGGCACAGGGCCAGCGGGCCGAGTAGGACCGAGTGCTGGTGTGAGGACCGTGGCCTCTCTCCTGTAGCAGCACCTCCCTCCTGACAGCACCCAGGAGCCTTTGCGTTACCTTCCCTTGGCCTAGAAAACTCATTCCAGCACCAAATCGGAAAATGCCTGCTCCTTGCAGTCTCTGTCTGGACGCCACCCGCTGGGGAAGTCCTCCCTGACTTTCCCAGAGGCCGCAATGGGCGCACCTCCTCCCCAGCTGGCCCAGGCCCGGCCCTTCTCACCCTGTGTCCCAGTTGCCTATATCTTTGGAAGTCCTGCATCGGGGGCTTTAGACACGTTGCATGCTACTCTGAGGGGCCAGGAGGGTCCCCTGCTCTGAACCCGGACCATTTGGATGGCCACTTGGTGTGTTTCCATGGACACCTCAGCCAGGCCCACAACAGCCCTTCAAGTCAGGCCCTGTTTCACCTGTTTCATAACCAGGACCCAAGACACCCCAACCCAGGACACACAGCCGGGTCTACCAGCCTCCTGGCCCCCCAAGATCTCTACTGTCACACAGAAAAACTTCTTAAAGGCCAGGGGAAGCACCGGCCTGAGACGAGAGACAGAGAGAAAGGTTTGCTGCAGTCCAGCCTCACTGTTGGTTAGCTGTGTGCCTTGGGGAATTCACCTAACCTCTCTGATTCTCTGGTCCTATTATTTCATCTGAAAAATGGGCTTGGTTAACACCTGTCTTATACTACTAAGGGGCCTTATTTTCTTAAGCAACATGTACACCCTGCAGTTGAACAAGTCCAAACTCACAAGAGCAGTGGTAGAGAAACATGAACGCCAGGTTGTAGGGACCACGGGCCGCAGGAAGTGTGATGCTGTAAACCTGTGGTGACGGTGGGAGAGGAAGGGGACCATCAGTTCACTCAGGGGCCCATGCACAGGGCTTCAGTGAGGAAACCTGAGTAGGGCCCAGGAGGCTGGGGTGGACCTGGGGACTCTAGGGGCACACTAGGGTTTGCAAGGCCTTCATGTCTCTCTCACAGAAACTTCCAGAAGCCCTGTGAAGCAGGAAGAGGATGAGTCTCAGAAAGGGGAAGTGACTTGCCCAAGGTCACTCACCTCATTATATGGTAAAGTCGGCCTCCAGATCCCCAAGTCCCACACCACCCGCCTTGAAACCCATCATACTCCAGCAACATGGGTTCTAGAGCCCTCTGAGACAGGATGGCATGGTGCCCTTGGCTCCGCTCTTCAACTTCAATCACATTACGCGGAAGAGGAACGGAGGCTTCACCACAGCCATTGGAGGCCGAACTGTCCAAACCAGGCTGGGAAAATCGGGGGACAATGGGAAGCCCCCACGGGCGCTCAGGAGGAGTGCACACACTGAGACACCTCCCAGACCACCTTGGCCCATCCAGGCGACCTGGAATCCTCTGTCCTTTTCCAAAAGACTGGGAAGACACTTTCTCACACAAGCCAAAACCAGACCCTGCAGCTCCCAGAGCAGAGAGACCCCCGCCCCACCCCCACCACTTTCCTGGAACAAGGGAGCTCCTGTCACAGAGGAGCCCACTGAGGCCCACAGTGGGACATGGACTTGCCAGGGTCATGCAGCCCAGATGGCACTCCCATGCAGGTGCCCTGGGCCAGCGCCCCTCCACCACACACATGCCCACCCCACAGTGATCTGCCGTGGGCTGCAAGAGAGGTGGGGGAGTCCATGCACTTCTGGGCTGGGATGTCAGAGGGTCCTGGAAAACCAGCTCCCCTGGGTGCTCACGGCCCTCCCCAAGGCTGCCTACTTGGTTCTACTTGAAGGCTTCAGGGATTCAGGCTACAGAGTCACTCAACAAACATACACAGGAGGGGCCTCATCCTGCCCATCTCCTCCGATCACCACACCACCCTGTCATCAGGGAGAACCTTCATTCATTCACCCAACACACACTGAGGTCCTACTACGCACAGTCACGTCTCCCCTCCCACCGCCCCTCCCTTCCACTCTCAGCTCCTCCCCCCTCCCCGTCCTGGTGGCCCCTTTGGCCCAAGAGGGGGGTGACCAGTCCAGAGGGACAGGGGACTGATCGGCTGGCTGACCGGCTGACAGGCACCGTACACCCTCCCCAGGTTACCTGGTGTGGCCCAGGGCAGCACTGGCAGGTGTCTGTCCCCGCGGAGGCCGCGGAGGTTCTGTCGCCCAGCCTGGCCGCGGGGGCTCGCCAGCCCCTCCCCCACCTTGGGCACGCACCCGGCGGCTGCTTGGAAAACCCACGGGCTCAGCTGACTTCCTCTCGTGTCATGGAAAGTGCAGTGATGAGGACCGGAAACTCCCGCCAGGGATCTGGGGTCTGAGCGGGGACAGGGCCAGGACAGGGGGCCCCGGAGGGGTGGGAGGGGCGCGCGCCCCGCGGAGGTAATGGGTGCGGTGGGCGACAGGGACAGCGGGGGCTGAGGCCTGGGGTGGAGCTCGCCCCTCCGCTGGGGTCCCAGGGTCCCAAGGTCCCCGACCCCAAGGCAGCAAGCAGAGGCCTTGCGCTACTTTCAGTTTCTCAAACACAAAGTACCAAACAAAAATAAGAGCCGAAGCCGTAACCTTGCCCAGATGATGAAGACTCCAAAACTCGACAAAAAGCCTCTTTGCTTTTAGTAAGGGTGCAGAGCCAGTGACAGTGAGGAAGGTAATGCGGGACAAAAATAAGGGGGATTCAAAACTCAGTTTAGACCTCCTGGGGACAAGGACGGGGCTTTCTGATCCTCAGTTTTCTCATCTGTGAAATGAGAAGCTGAGCCAACTTTCCATGATGGTTGGGAAGATGAAAGGTACTGCCTGGCTCAAGATAGGTGCTCAGTAAAACCATTTTCTCCCTCTCTGGTTTGATTAGGTAAAGGGAGCTTGGAACAGGGCCTCTGAGGGGCCCCTTCATACACACATCCGTGGGCCCGATAAACACTAAGTCCTGAAGAGCAAACTAACCCAAGGGGTCTTTGGAGTGTAAGCAGGTGGAGGGTGCAACTCTCATTTCTGCCTTCCTGAAGCTGAGCCTGGAGCAAGGATTGGACTGGGATTGCCGATTCGCAGGGCCAGGAAGGATGGATGTGAGGCAGGGATCCAGGCCAGGCCTGGCCAGTCAGAGCTGGGCCAAGGCAGTGCCACCTCTGGGGAAGGGCGGAGGCACCTCCCAGACCTCCACCAGGTGGTGGGTGTGGCCCCCAATATCGGCTCCCACAGCCTCCCCTTTCCTTGATTTTTCCTTCTGCTAAACAGGTTGCGGCACCTGAAACCCTCAGGCCTCGATTAATGGAAACTGAGAAGGGCTGAGGCTGGGGAGCCTAGTGGGTATGCCAGGAAGGGGAGGCCCAGCTGCTGGGGGGAGAGGGGGACAGTGCACAGGGAGGGGCCGAGAGGACAGGCACCAGCCGTCATGTCCTTGAACTGCTCTGGGACAGCCAGATTCAGGCACCTGGCCCACTCATCCTGGAGCCTGAAGCACGTGAGAGAGGAACTGCTTGTCCTGCTTCCTTGTCCTGCTCCAGGTCCCCATCTGCTCTGCAGAATCCTAGAGACCCTGCTTCTTCAGCAGACCTGAGGTTGATTCCGGTCCCTCCAAGATCAGCCTCCACACAGAGGTTACACACACACACACATGCACGCGCACGCGCGCACCAACATGGAGATCACACGGATTCCCTTAGATTCCAGCTTCATCCCTCATCAAGGGATGAAGTGGGGCTTCTTCCATTTTGGTTCTCACCGCTGAGCCTGCAGCAGGAACCGAGGTCGCGTTCCTGACTTCCCACCTGGCGCCCCCCAGCCCCACTCAGAGACCCCTGGTGGGAGCCCTGCCTTGGTGCCTCTCCTGCCACGTCCACTCCTCTGCGCTCACCTACAGCCAGGCGGCCTCCGACTCAGGGCCCCACCCCACAGCCCTGTCCCACCAGGATGCCTGCCCCGTCCAGGTGCGGGCATCATCGGGGGCACCACCCCAGTCCTGGCACCTCAGGCAGGAAACTGGCAGAGGCCAGGGCCTCCATTCAATCTGGGGTGGGTGGTTTTGCCAGGAGGAAGTTGACAGTTCAACTTCAAACACGGTGACGCAGGCCCCACTGCCTGCCGCCGCCCCCTCCCACCCCTGCTCTGCCCGCCCCGCCCGGCCCCCTCCCTCCCTGAGAGCCAGACACCGGGCCAGACACCCTCACCCACGGGTGCCGGCTTGCCGAGGCTGAGGAGGCTGCGCCCATGGGGTCCCAGCATCTGCTGCTGGCCGCTGCGTACCTGCTGGGGACTCTGGGTGAGTACCTTGCCGAGCTCTGTAGGGACGTCTGGGCTCGCTGCTGTGCAGGGGAGTCGGCCATCTCCTCCCAGGTCTGCCTCTGAGGCCTGTTGCTTACCTCTCGGATGTGTCGGGAAGTTTGGGGCCACCAGGGTCCCCGTCTGCTTCCCCAGCGCCGGCTCGGCTCTGGGCTCTGCTATTGGCACCGTCAGTGCCCCAAGCCCGCTTCTGTGCTGTCCAGGGCCCCCCTGAACCCCGCCAAGCACATTTGTGCTCAAATCAGACTCAGCCCAGAAGTCAACTGTCCAGCCCCGTCCTGCGTGGCGGCCCTCTGCAGGGTAGCCCGTGAGGACCCAGCCTGTGCTTGGTCCCAGGAGAAACTTGCCAACTCTCTGGGCCAGAGTGAGCCAGGGAAAGCAGGACTCCCTCCGGGGACCCAGCTGAGCAGATGTCAGGGACGCAGTTCACTGTTCGTGGTCCCTACAGCATGCAGCTGTAGGTGGGCCCCAAAGAAGGCCCCAGCTACCAGATCTACCGCAGGCCCAGGGTCCTTCTGCTGGCCAGTCAGGAGGCTCCTGGACAAGTGGGGGGCAGTGGGTGATGTGGCCTGGGAGGCGGAAGCCCTGAGTTCTAAGCCTGACCATGGGTAGCCTCAGAGAGTCCCCCAGCCTCGGCAGGTCTCCAGCTCCCATTTAGAGAAGGTGGGGAGCAGGCTGTCAGCTGGATGAGGCCTGGGAGCTTCCGGGGGCTTTGGAAGGTGTGGCAGGGCGAGGGGTGCTGGACTCCAGCACCGAACAGGAGGTGGCAGGGGGCTTCCCACTGCGGAGGGGACAGGCTGGGCCTCACCTGCCCGGCAGAGCCTCAGGTGGTGAGGTGTGAGTGCGGGAGTGCGGGTGTGCTGGGAACTCAGCATGCGTGTCTGAGTGTGAGTTCGTATGTGCGTGCTGTGTGCTTGAGTGTGAGCACTCTGGGTGCACTTTCATGGGCATTGCATGGCTTAGGTTCCCTGTGAGTGTGCTGTGACACGGCTCCTGTGCACACACGCTCACATGGCGGTCGTGTGCATAACAGCCAGTTATACAATGCCTCTGTACCGCTGTCAGGGTGTGTCTCTGCCCCAGATTGCAGCTGGCTTCCAGCACCCTGCCAAGGAGCTGCTGCGGCCCTCTGGGTCCCCGAGGCTCCTAGGAGCAGATGCTGCTCCCCCTCCCCTGTGGCTCATCCCCCACAGACTCCCTGCTGGTCCAGAGTGGGTCCTGCTCCATGGTCCTTCCCACCTGAGCACCATTGTGGGGCGAGGCTGCTGGTGGGACTGGCAGGTCCCCTGGGTCCATGCAACCCAGAGTCGGGAAGATTTGGAAGCAGCGCCTTCACCCAGTCTGGAGACCCTCAGGGGCATGTGGCTCCTGGGGACATGTTTGTGTGAACTGGTAGGTAATGAGTGCTCCCTCCCTTTGCCAGGCGTGGTGGCAGATACCAGTAATCCAGCAACTCAGGCTGAGGCAGGAGGATGGCAAGTTCAAGGTCAGCCTGGGCGACTTAGAGAAACCCTGTCTCAAAAAAATAAAAATAAAAAGGGCTGGGGGCGTAGCTCAGTGGTAAAGTTTCCTCGGGGTTCAGTCCCCAGTACCTCAAGATCATAACAATAATAATAATGATAATTAGCACCACCTTTGTTGGGATCAAAAGTATTTTTAAAGCCATGGTCTTCTGGAACCCAGTCTGGGAAGTAGGAAGCAGGCGGGCTCATTGGCCCCATTTTACAGAGAGGAAAACAGGCCCAGAAAAGCCAAGGACAGTCCAGGGAGGGGCAGCAAGTGGGCAACCGAGCCCAGCACCACCCTCCTGTCTCACAGAGCCGCTCTCTGCACCCGTAGCCGAGAGTGAAGGCCCCGGAACCGCTCCAGGGGTAGAGAATGGCCGTAGAGCCCGGCCTCGACCAGCAGAGAAGCAGCCAACCAGGGTGGGGGTCCCACGGGCCAGCACTGGGGCTGGGGGCCAAGACCGCAGGTACCTGGAGCCATTCCAAGAAGAGGCGCATCGGTGCCAGAGCCCTGGGAACAGCAGCCTCCTGGCTGGGGACTTTTGGGCCACCGAGGCCTAGAGATGCCCAAAGCCTGTCAGGGGTGAAAGGGGAGGGCAGGACTTTGCACAGCTGTCCCCTCTAGCCTCGACCTGCCTGGGGTGGGCTGGGGAGGTGGCTCAGGTCTCTCTCACCACCCGCCAGCCCCAGCCAATGGGACTCCAGAAGTCAATTTGAATTGAATTCTGCCACTTGCCAGCAGGATGACCTTGGACTAGTTCTATAAGCCCTAGTTTCCTCCTCTGAAAATTGAAAATGATAATATACCTCACAGAGGTTTATGGGATTAAATGAATTTGTGCACATTGAATTTTAGTATCGCGCCTGGCATGTAGTGTAGTACATGCTCAATAAGCGTGACCATAACAACAGAGTGTCAACAAGAACAAGACCAGGTAGGACGGGTCGTGGGGGAGTCTTGCCAGACACTGGCCTTTACAAGGATCTCCTATCTCCCAGGCCTCTTGGACAGGCTGTTCCTTCCTTCCTTCCTTCCTTCCTTCATCTCTACATGTTATAAGTATTTACTGAGCATCTTCTGCCCAGTTCTGGGCAAAGCATCAGGGAGACGGCAAGGGTGAGACCAGTGTCTCCGGCCTGGTGGATCCGCCCAGCGCAAAGAGGAGGCCTGTAGGGGACACGGGGAAATGAGTGTCTGAAACACTTAACACCTTCGGAAACGCTGTCGAGAGCAACCCAGGAGACAGTTGGCTGGGGCCTAGTAACAATGTTCAGTCAGAGACCCCTGTGGCCGCGCAGGCAGGGGACCTCTGGGAGAGGATGACATCTCCCTGAGATCTAAGGCCAGGGGAGGAAAAGAAACAGCCAGACAGAGAAAGAGGGAAAGGGTCCCAGACAGAGATGGCGGAGGTGAAGGCCACGGGGAAAGACAGGCCGAGAGATACACACAGGGAGGGTGTCCATGATAGACCGGGGCAGCCGGCTCCTGAGGGGAGCGGAGAGCCACTGTCCCGGGCTGCAGAGCCGAGACCCTCCTTGACTCTGAGTACAAAGGGGCAGCCTTTGGCAGGCCCAGAGCTCCCCACCCTTGCAGGGAATGGAGGCCCCTGAAGACAAGTGAGGCCTTCTGGTCACTCTGTGTGGCCTCACCCCTTCAGAGGGGTTTCCCTGCAGGGAGGGAATCCAGCTCCACCTGACAGAGTTGATGGAACACCTGCTCTGTGTGTGTGTAGGGTTCTCGAGTGTGAGCACGTGTATGTGCACTGTTGTGTGCGGCCCTGGGGAGGGGTCTCTGGAGCAACGCAGATCTAATCTGATTTCTACTTGGCCACCCAAAGTGACAAAAACCTCTGGGTCTCAGCTTTCTCCTCTATAGAGGCCAGTGGTAGAGCCCACCTCAAAGGATAATTGTAATAATGATGTTATGGAGAGTTGATTGAGCACCTACTATGTGCCGGGATCAGTGAACAAAACAGACAAGATCCCTGCCCTGGTGGATCTGAAGGGTCGGGTGAGATAAGGAGAGAGACAAGAGACAAGGTGAGCTAGGGAGTGTCTGGATGCCAGGTCACGCGGTGTGGGCACAGACTGATAAAGGAGGACTGGGAGACGTGGCGCTCTGAGAGGGTGGGCTGCACACACGGAGGGCTCGCTGGGTCTCGCCAGAAGCTAATATTTGAGCAGTTGGCTGGGGCCTAATAACAACTCAAAGACCCCTGTGGCCGCGCAGGCAGGGGACCTCCAGAAAAGGTCCTGAAGGAAGTGAGTGAGCCCACCATGTGGGCCCAGGGAGAGCGTCCAGCAGAGGGGTCCTTGGCGCACAGGCCCACGCCGTGGAGGCCTTTTCTCCCATGAACTGGAGGACCACAGGGAAGCAGAGGTGGCCTCTCCAGGTCCTCAAGTTCTCGTCCCAAGTCCCAGGCCAGACGCCTTGGGGAATTCAAAGCTTTCCGAGGACAGAAGGTAAATCGCACATGCTCTGTGTGCTCCGAACATCAGCAAGAAGGTCTGGGCGGCGCTCCAAAATCAAACGCATTCCCACCCGTGCAGTGAGAAAAAAACTGCACACAACTGGACCCCTGAACGGGGCCCTGACAGGCCACAGAGATGGGGCTTCAGTTCTGACCCTCCAACCAGCTAGGTATGTGACTTGGGCAATCTCTTAGGTCCTCTCTGGACCTCAGTTTCCTCTTCTGAAAATGGGTCTGAACATGATCCTGCCCCACGGGGCTCAGGGTGAAAGAGCTCCCGTGTGGGAAACAGCACTGCGGTATGTGAGGCTCTGAACCAAAGGGAGGACATGTCCCTGTGACAGCAGAGATGCACTATCTGTCATGAAACTCGTGCCAATTCAGTTAAACACACCAGGCACCGGGAAGAGAGAAAAATAGCTGCTTAAATAGCAAAGGCCATTCTGGCCACCATCCGCTGTCTGTGTGTGGACGCAGGCCCTGTGAGCCAGATTAAACTCCAATCTGCCCTCTCAGTTTCTTCTGGCAGGCTCCATTCCCCTCGCCTCTCCTGGCTTGGATGATGCTCCAAATGTTTTGCATTTGAAAAGGCTCCCAACCATATCCCAACTCCTTCATCTGGTGCTCTAGCAAGACCCAAAATGTTGGTCATGTCTGATCTTTGGTTCCCCGGAAGCCCTGCTACTATTTCAAGATGGACTCGTCACCACTGACTAATGCTCTATCAGCAAGGTGGGGATCCTAGCCTCCAAGTCAGCCAGCGCGGAGGGTGCCAGGGGAGAGATCCTGCGTCCTCCCCCAGAGCCAGCCAGGCACCGAGTTGGATGCTGGCCACGGTTGGTGAGAGCAGTACAGCAGTTGGAGGGGACTGTCATCTATGAAGAAAAGGCTCATCTGACTTCCCATGCAAACAAAAGCAATTGCTTGGCTTCCTTCTCTGTAACAGTGGTGACAGTCCCCATCGATGAGGCTTTAAGGAAGAAATGGGGTCAGGGTCTTCTTTGCTCTGGGTTTGCCCCAGGTAGGAGCGAATCCACTGTGATCATGGTCAATCAGGTACCAGCCCTTCCCTGGCTGCCCACCAGATCCTAAGCTGCCCACACCCTTAGTCTCCATTTCCCAGTGTGTACCAGCCACAAACACCACACAGGACCTCTGAGTGGATCAGAGGCAGGGACAGGGGCCCAGGATCTGCAATCAGCGGGCCTGGGCTAAATTCTGTCTCTGCTGAACCCCCTCAGGAGCACAGGAGCAGCCACATGGTCTGTAAAACAGAATGCAGCCTGGCGCTCCAGCAACACCCATCTGCGATTCCAAAACCGGGACTCGCTGACAGTCTCTGACAAATGCATTTGGTGTTGAGCCGGACCCGATCCAATGGGAGGCTACGGATCATCTCGTTGCATCCCACTTGGTGTGGAAATTCGTATATTCCACTGCAGACGACATTGTGTGCTTAAATCCAGAACTCTCCAGACGCAGAGAGAAAGAAGGGTGCCCTCGGGTGCTGCCAGATCAAAAGGCAGCTGCCCGGGGCTCCCGGTGAAGCAGCCAGGAACCAGGACACCCTCTTTTTCAAAAATATCTTAGGATTTGTTTAAAAGCAAAACAAAAGAGAATCTTTTATAAAACTGGCTCAAATGCATGAGGCCCTGAGTTCACTCCTCCACAGGATGCGGAACTGAAGGCCAAAGTGGGAATCCTTCTGAGTGGGGAGGGGGAGAGGATCTACATGTCTCCATGCCGCCCTCAGGAATTCATCTACCCTCACCAAAACCTCGGGGCAGGCCAGGTCAAAGTGACCGAATTTCTACAGATGCAGGGACAGTGAGACTGGGGCCTGGGAACAGTGGGAAGTCCCTCTGACTCTCTGGCTTTTAGGGCTTAGCAAGTCCAAGCCCTGGATCGTGGGGGCTCGAGGGAAGGTGGGTGGGGAAGGAAAGCGCCTCTGAAGAATCCTCATGCCCAGCCCGCCGCTCGGAGGACGGTCGTGGACGGTGGGTAAGGAAATGGCGCGATGCTCCCATCCCCGCCCCTGGAGGCCTGAGAGCCTCAGAGCGCAGCCCTGAGCCTCGGGCTGCAGGAGTTCTCTCTAGAAAGAATGTGGCAGGACTGAACTGCAGCCCGGAACACAGGGCTCAGAAGAAGGAGGGTATTAGTCAGACACGGGGAGGATCGCTAGAAAAATGAAAACAGGTGGTGGACGATCAAAACCGGAAAGTAGCACTGGACAGGCAAAGAATAGGCACTCCAAGTCAGCCGGCATCTCTCTGCCCACCTCTGCCCCTCCTCCCAGCCCTGAGATACATTAGGAACTACCTTATAGAGCACGGAAGTTTTAACCAAGAGGAAGGTAAGGGGTCATGGAATAGCACTTCATCACGTTAAGATGAGGAAACCGAGTCCAGAGAGGTTGAATGGCTGCCAATGTCACACAGCAAGTCCGTGGTTAAGTCTGGCACGTGCATGAACTGAACAAAGCCATAAGTTCATTCCCTTCCATCAGGGTTGCCTGCCAGGACCATGCAGGAATTGGGGACACTGAGCAGAGCACCCCAGGCCTCCCTCGGAAGGGAGGGGAGATAGCTTGGTCTAACGGGCAAAGCACAGCCTCTGCCACTTGCAACTTGGACAAATTATTTAACCTCCCTCATCTACAAAATGAGGACCAAAAATGATGACACCCACTTTACTGCCTTGTGGTGGGGATTGAGAGAGTTAAGCACAAAAATATCCAGGGGAGTGAAAACTGTAAAAATGCTGATGGTGGTGGTGATGGTGATGGTGATATTGGTGATGGTGATGATGGTGGGCATGGCAATGACTGTGGTGGTGTTGGTGATGGTGGTGATGATGATGGCAACCATGGTAATTTGGTGATGGTGATGGTAATGGTGATGATGGTGGTGACAATGGTGACATTGCTGATGGTGATGGTGGTGGTGATGGTGGTGGTGATGGTAATAGTGATGGTGGTGGACAATGGGAAGAGGACCAGGCAGGTGCCCAGAGGGAGGCAACGCCCTGGAATGCACAGACCGCTTTTCTCAAGAGCACTTTCTTTTTCAGTTCCACTTGGTTCACCAGCACTTCTAGTCTTTCCTGAGAACATGCTCTGAGCAGCAGCTGTGCTGTGGTGTGTGGGATCTGCAGGACGGCCAGGCCCAGTCTCTGCCTCCAGGGGTTTCAGGGTCTGGCGGCTCCAGCCCTCTGGGTCGGGGTCTAGGTAGTGTCCATCTCTGCACCTCCCAATGTGATGCTTCGGAGACAACGGCTGGGTGGCTGAGAGCTGAGGGCACGATTTTGAAGTCGGAATCATGGTTTGAATCCAAGGCCTACCACTTGCTAGCCATGTCACACTGGCTGGGCACGTGCCTTCTCCCAACATTTATACCACAAACACACTTAAATCCCATAATGGGGCTGTGTGGGAGAGTCACCATAATATCTGTAAGGAACCATCTCAAGTTCCCTGTGTGCAGCAGGTGCTCAATAATTGGTAGCTGCGGTTAATAATGAAAGTTGACTGTGAGCTCTGAGAAGGCAAAGTTCCCACTCTATATTCCCGCATTCCCTGTGCTCCCTGGGTTCTGGCCCCCTGTGCTTCCCAGACAGGGCTTCTCCTGCCAGAGCAACTCGGGAAGGCCTGCCATGCTGGCCACTCCTGCCCCAGGCCGGGTAGGCTCTCCAGACCAGCAGCCCTAGCTCTCAGCACTGAGCCGGGCCCAGGGAGGCACGGGGCTTCCCCTGGACATCCTCTCAATGTCCCTAGATTGGTGGTCCCACGCTCATGCCACACTGCCGATGAGACTTGGTCCCCAGGCCCACAGGCAAGAAGTGACAGAGCCAGCTCAGGCCTAGAACACTAAGGAGTCATGAGTGCCTGAAAACCAGCCCCTGTGTCATGCGGCAGCAAAGGGCACACCTACACATCTCTCCCCACGGACACTCCTCCAGCTGCCTAAGCCCTCGTGCTGTAGCCAAAGGAACTGGACTCCCTGCTTCCACGGGGCAACTGACCATGGGGAAGTAGAAACGAGAGGCCAGGGGTGAGAGGGGAGGCGAGCCAAATGGTCTCCTGCCGCCTCTCTCAACATGCCAGCTGGTGCCTGGTCCACTGCCATCAGATGTGATGGACAGCTGGACCCTCCCTTTCCACTCAAGCCAGAGCTCTGGCCACTGCGCCAGGCCCAAGACTCCCTGTTTGTAAGAATCAGCATCCCTTCCAAGGCCCACAGTGTCCAGATGATTGTGATGGCGTCTCTTGAAGTAAAGGGGACTTATCACAGGGCCACCACAGCTCACTGCCAGGTGCCTTGTGTGGGAGGAGGACGCACCCCACCCCCGCCCCTTGAGAACACTCAGGCAAGGACAGGCCTAAGTTTTTTAAGACCCAACAATAATTTCTCCGGAGCCATTGAAACAGCTGTTTCCTATGTATAAAGCAGCTTCCCGGATCCAGGGCTGTCCCCAGCTTCCAACAGAGAAGGAACCCCAAGAGCCAGACAGATGGAATGAAATACCTGCTTCACTCCATAAGACGGGTCTCTGAGGCCACAGGAGCTCTCTGTCCCACCCTGTCCCCACCCAGATGATACCTCCTCCCCCACCACAGCCACAGGCAAGCTGGCCTCTGCTGCTCTACCAAGCACCCCACGCCATGCGCTGCCGGGAGTAAGAACCCCAGATGGCCACTGGGAAGACGGGACAACGTGCTGTGCCGCCCTGGGCCAGTCCTGCCATCTGAGCCTGTTGTCCTCTGGAATCCAGGAGCAGTTAAAGATAACTTGCCACCATTCTCATCTGTGTAGAAAGTAGCAAGCATAGCCTTGGGTTCCCTCGAACTGATGGCTCAGTTCTCTAAAACTAGAGAGGCTCAACTTTTGGAGTGAAAGCTACACAGGAGACAGTTTTACGTTGCACCCCCAACCCATAAAAAGAAGTGATGCCCACCCTCCTGATGCACTCTGTCATTCTCTACTCTAGTCCCTTCTTTTATTTATTTATTTATTTATTTTTTATATTGGGGCCCTTCACACACTAAGTCACATCTCCAGCCCCTTAATATATATATATATATATATATATATATATATATATATATATATATATATATATATATATATATAATTTAGAGACAAGGTCTTGCTAAGTTGCTTTAGAACCTTGCTAAGTTGCTAAGGCTGGCTTTGAACTCACGATCCTCCTGCCTCAGCCTCCCGAGCCACTGGGATTACAGGTGTGCTCTCCATTTCATTTTTGAAAGAAAAAATAAAAATGAAAAAGCAATGGTTGCCTTACTACAGAAAGATAGCATGAGGGATCCCTTTGGGCCCCGGCACTGGTATGTATCTGTCTTGACGTGGATGGAGGTCATATGGGTCCTGGGCGTTAACGGTCGTAGAATCATGCACTCAAGAAAAATCCGCTTCACTTCGTGCTCATTTAAAAAGTTAAGTTTTTTTAAAAGAAAGACAATTAATGGTTGCAATCCATTAAATTGATTTCATGACCACTTAGGGGTTCTGAGCTGTGGAATAACAGTCCCTGACTTGGAACCCATAAGAGTGGTCCCTGGGGGCAGCCAGGGCCATTGCTCAATAGAGGGTGGGTTTGCGTGGGAGAGGGCGAGGGAGAGGGCGGAGGCCTCACTTCCTGACCTTCCTCTCTCCTTTCTGCAGTCACTTCCTGCCTCGGTTGGTTCAGCCTGGAGGACCCAGGTAAGGAAGAGCCGGGTGAAGGGCGGCCTGGGGCTCCGCAGGGGCTGGGGTGCGAATCCACCAGGCTGTGGGGGACCTGCCGATTAAGAAGTTGTCACCTGCACCAGAGCGAACCCCACCACAGCGAAGAAACATGATACATATTTGTGAACTTAGCAGTTCCCCCACATTTCACCACGCCCTGTTTTTCACACCGGCTGGGATAGCACTGGAGAGAAACGAGGCCACAAGTCTTGTGAAGTCACTGTGCCATCCGAAGGAGTCACAGGGACTTGGCGGGTCCTGGGCTGGGACCTGGACCCCACACTGACAACCCAGCTCTGAGCTCCAGCAAGTGTTCTATGAGCCTCCAGCTCCCCACCTGTGAGATGGGGAGAAAGTCCCTCCCCGGGGGAAGATTCGAGGAGTCAGCCAGCTGGGCGCAGGGTCTGCAAAGTGTCCTACCTCAGTCAGGTGTTGCATCAACCTGCTTTGCATCCAAGTAGCCAGGTGACCTTGGGAAGCCCCCAGCCTTGCGCCCAGGCCCCAAGTGTCCTCATCTACGTTCCCCACCAGGAAAACCTTCTGCCTCAGAATCCCCCAAAAGAGCCTTTTACATTGAATTGTTTCTTTCTTGAATAAGCAATTCATGAAATTGCCTGGCAATTCTTTATGAAAAGATCTGCAGTGGAGAGTCTCACTTCCATCACTGTCCTCCTCTGTCCAGCCCCTCCTCACCCAGTACCCCAGGCAACAGCACGCTTATTTCTTTTTTGTATATTCTTCTCTAAGCTCTTGGTACATACACAAATATATATACAGCGAGCCCTCCGTGTCTGTGGACTCAATCAACGGCAGATAAAAAACACGTAGCCAGGTCTAGGATGGCTGTGTCTCTACTGAAATGCACTAATTTTTTGCTTGTTATGAAAATGACATGGCATTTGCATTGTATCAGGATTGTATATAATCTAGGGATGACCAAAGTACATGAGAGGACACATGTAGGCTGAATGCATGTTTTTTTATTTATTTTTCCGCTGCTGGAGATGGAGCCCAGGGCCTTGCACATGCTATGCAGACCCCGCCTCTCACTAAGCTAAATCCTCAGCCCCCATTTGCCATTTTATGTAAGGAACTTGAGTATCTATGGATTTTGGTATCTATAGGAGGTCCCAGGACCAATCCCCCACCAAAACAATCTGTGCTTACGGGTGTCTATATTTTTCCTTCCGCTCATGAAGCATTATAAAATCACAAAAGCCACGTACCTACTTACATCCCAGCAATTCCACTCGGGGTATTTATCCAAGAGAAATGGAAATTTGCCCACACAAAAACCTGAGCAAGAATGTTCACAGAAAAACCCAGGAGCAACCCAAATGGTGCATAAAAAATCAAGAGTGGCAAATCCACACAATGAAATATTATTCAGCAATAAATGGGACGAATTACTGATACATACAGCAACATGCATAAACCTCAAATACATGAATAAATGAGGAGGGAAAGAAAAAAAACCAAAAAGAAAATAAAACCCTTGCTCTGTGATCCTATTCAGATGACATTGCAGAACAGGCAAAACTAATCTCTCATGACAGAAAACAGATCAGTGGTTGCCTACGGCTACATTCAGGGAAATTAACTGTCAAGAGACATGCAGGAACTTTCCGGGTGATGGACATGTCCCATATCTAGGTGGTGGTGGTTACATGCTTGTATACATTTGTCAAATTGCTTCAACAGTACTCTTAAAATGAGTGCATTTCACTATACGTAAATTGTACCTCAATAAAATGGATTTTAAAAGTGAAAAAAAAAAAAGATGGCAGACCCCATCTCAGACCTATGGACACAGAATCTCTAGGAATGGGTGACTGCACTGGACAGTAAGTACCTAGAATATCTTACCCACTGCTCCAAGTTTGGAACCCTAGCTTCAGGGCCTCCTGGGTGACCCAGCTTGGGTTTCTAGAAAGTTCCTGGAGTGCCCCAGAAGGGACGAAGCTCAGAAGGAACAGGCAGTGGGGCAGGTGGGAACCCGGCTGGCAAGGGGCCCAAAGGGGAAGGGGACAGTAAGGGCTCCAGGGGAGGGCCCTTCCTCTTCACCCCACTGACCCCTGCCACCACTTCTTGACCCCAGATCTCCAGGTGAGGCTAACCGGCTCCAACTCCAGGTGCCAGGGCCAGCTGCAGGTCTTGAGTCACACCAGGGACCTGTGGCACTCGGTGTGCAGTGACAGCTGGAAGGGGGCGCTGCGCCACTGGGACGTCTCTCAGCAGGCCACCAGATTCTGCCGGAAGCTGCGCTGCGGGGACTCCTTGGGCCTGACCACCTACTCTCGCTTCAACACACCCCAGAACCAGATCATCTGCCATGGACCCCGGGTGTCCTTCTCCAACTGCAGCACAGACTCACCATACAAGTGCCACCCGCTGAGCCTCGTCTGCTTAGGTGGGTACTGGCCAGCCGCACGGACACCCTTGGGCCGGGCGCCTCCCCGGGTCTGTGCTCTGGACGTAGGCAAGCAGGTGGAAGAGAAAGGGGTCCCCAGTTGATAACCGCCCCCCAGTCATTTATACTGCTGTTGGCACTTGGGGGATGAAGACACAGGCCCTGTTCCTGCCAACCGCTGACAGCCTCATTCCTAACCTCCACCTTCCCATCTGTAGAGTGGAGGACTGCCACCTAGCGAAGGTGAGGGTCAGGTGGGCTTATTGGGCACTTATGTCACAAGCTCCGGATCTTCCTCACACTGCAGGCTGCCCCCAGCCCTCCCCACACCCCATCCTTCCCTCCTCCACCCACCCCTTCCTCTCTCACCAGAGTGTCTCATTACAGAGCCCCAGACGACGACACCTCCACCCACAAGCCCCCCAACCACCATGACTCCAGAGCCCACAGGTAAGCGGTCGGGAGGCCTCCTGGAGGGTGCAGACATAGCAAAGAAGAACCCAGGAGGCCCCGTCACCTAGGGATTTGGGAGGAAATCTAGGATAAGCTGCCCTGTGCAGTGTCTGGGATGCACCACCTCCCGTGCCTGTTAGGGATTATCTGCTGGGGTCCAGCAGTGGGCTGTGCTTCAGCAGGCACAGCGCTCAGGACGGCTCCCTTCTCCCGCGCCCCCTCTCTCAGCACCCCCCAGGCTGCAGCTGGTGGCGGGTCCCCGGGGCCTGCGGTGTGCCGGCGTGGTGGAGTTCTACAGCGGCAGCGTGGGGGGCACCATCAGCTACGAGAACCACCACGGGCTCCAGGGCCTGGGAGACCTCCTCTGCGGTGCCCTCCAGTGTGGCTCCTTGAAGCAGCCTCCCGAGGCCAAGGCAGTAGAACCCCAAGACCCAGGAGAGCGCTGGGCACGCAGGCTCTTGCCGATTCGATGGCAAATCCAGAACTCCAGCTGCGTCTCCCTGCACCAGTGCTTCAGGAAAACCCCGGCCCAGGAGGGCGGCCAGGCTCTCAGCCTGGTCTGCTCAGGTGAGTGAGCCCAGCCAAGCCCACAGGCCTCCTGTGGCCCGGAAGTGGCCATGGGCAGATGGCCAGGCAAGCTCCAGGGTACAGAGACACCAGAGGATATGGGCACACTGAGCCTGAGACTCGGGCAAGGACAGGGAGCGGGAAGGGGGACAGGACTCCGTGACCATGGCTCAGCTGCCCCCTGGGGAAGTAGCTTCGGCAGGGCTTCCAGGAGGAGGCAGGGCCCTGGTGGGTTTGGCAGAGCAAAGGGGAGAGAGTCCTGCAGGGAGCACCTGATGGGTGGGCCTTGCAGGAGGGGAATGTGAAAGTCCCCAGGGATGATGTTACAGGATCATGAGGGCTGGCTGGGGGGTCCCTGAGGCCTGGGGCTAGAGCAAGCCCCCAAGAGGGCTCTCTGCCCGGGTCCCTGGGTCACCTCTGACAAAAGACAGAGGTGGTGGTGGTAATGTGGTTGAGGCAAGAACCAGGGAGGCTGAGTCTATGGGACTCTAAGGGGCCAAACCAGGATCAGTAGACAAAACCAAAGAGACCATAGTTCAAAGTAAGGCAGAGCCATCGCAGCAGGCGGGGAGGCCGTGGGCCCAGATGTGAAGCCGCTCACCTACCTGGTTCCAGGACCGCCACCAGCAGTCTTGAGTTTTCACCACCACTGTAGGAGGCAGAAGCTATTACTATTCCCATTTCACAGATGAGGAAGCTGAGACTCAGACAGGCTCAGTTTCTTGCCCGACATCACAGAACATTAGATGGGGTTTCTCCTCAGGCAGGGCCAATCCAGTCAACTGCTGCGCCTTGGCTATTCGAAGCTCGGTCCTCCTGTGGCAGTGCCAGCACCACCCAGGATCTGGTGCAATGCAGAGTCTCGCCTTGGCTGGACCTCTTAACTCTGGGTTTCGGCAGGGTCCCAGAGATTCCCGTACAACGATAGAAGGCATGGCTCTGGACCCCTGGGTTCCCCTGTAAGCAGGGCTGCCCCCACCCCCCGGGGTACCTGGTGCAAACTAGTAAAAGGCTGTCCCCTCCAGGCAGAAATCCCCTCCAAGGGTCTCTTGGTCTGAGGAAGGGACATGGCCTGGCCCCCAGCCCCTCATCCTCAGCTAGAAGCCCTCATAATGCAGACTACAAGCTGCAAAACCATACCCAGGGGCCTTGCCTTTGAAATTTCTTCTAAACAGAAGATTTACTAGGACTTTGAAGATGGATGTTACCATGGAAACTGGCCCAAAGCTGGTGAGATCACAACTCACTCGAAACTGAGCCGAGTGGGCCTCCGCCAAGGGCTCCCATCTCCACCCTGCCGAGCAGAAATGAATGAGTCTCCAGCCAGCCCCGAGTCCCTGACAGTCCAGCCCTCAGGGCCCAGGGCTGGCAGCAGGACTCCTGGGTTCTGCCCCCTGCGAAGCATGAGGACTTAGAGCTGGGTCTCAGCTCCCCATGCCTGCGCCTCAGTTTCCCCCTTCTGAAAAGCCCTCTGTCCCTGCGTTGCATCTCAGGACAGACGCTGGCATCCAGAGGCCCCAGGGAGAGTTTGGTCAGGGCAAGTGCTGGAAAGAATGCCAGGAGGAAGGAAGGTCGAAAGGAAGGCATCTGCCCCCGAGTCCTCACAGAGCCTCCTCGCTGCCAGGGCCCCAGCTTTGCCGGTGGCACCGGCTCCAGGGGCCAGGCACGTGGGCTGGTGCCAAGCCTGCCACCTCACCTCTCATGGTCTTCACTCCCCAGATTTCCAGCCCAAGGTCCAGAGCCGCCTGGTAGGGGGTGGCAGTGTGTGTAAGGGCACTGTGGAGGTGCGCCAGGCCACCCAGTGGGCAGCCCTGTGTGACAGCCATGTGAGCAGGGGCCCAGCTCGGTGGGCGGAGCTGTGCCAGGAGCAGAAGTGCAACGGCCTCGTCTCCTACCACACGCTGGACGCCAGTGAGACCTCCAGCGGGTTCTCCTGTCCCCAGGAGAAGCTGTCCCAATGCCACGAACTTCAGGAGAAAAAAACCTTCTGCAAGAGGGTGTTTGTCACATGTGAGTTGGCCACAGCCCATGGTGGGGGGAAGGCAGGGCTGGACTTTCCTTCTGGGACCTGGTTAATGAGCATGTCTCTGAAGGACAGTGCCCCAGAGCCCTGTAAGAGGATGGCAAATGGCGAGGGTACAGGGGGCAGGGGGGCGTCAAGGAACAAGAGACAGCTTGACCAGAACTCAGGCAGCTATAAGCATGAACGATGAAGAGGGGACGGGCAAGGCCACAGGCAGATCATCGTTAGGCAATTGATGGGTGACAGAACTCTTCCTTCTGTCTCCTACTCTTCCAGGATGGAAACTAGAAGATCAATGGGCAGACAGTATATATTTACTACATAAAGAATAATTAATAATTCATAGGAGAAAGATGGACAGATGGATGGTGGGTGGATGGATGGTAGATGGTGGACAGTGGAAGGTGATTGGTGGATGGAAGGATGGTGGATGGTGGATGGATGGTAGATGATGAATGGATGGATGAACGGTAGATGGTGGATAGTGGATGGTGATGGATGGTGATGGATGGTGATGGATGATGGATGGATGGTGGGTAGTGGATGGTAGTGGATAGAGAGCTGGCTGCCTATTGGTATGTCATATATTGGTACAAGATGATGTATGAGAGGAAGTTGGTCACTTGCAAGTAACAAAAGTTGAGAGTTGATGACAAGAGTGGCCAATAGCTGGATAATCAACTCTAGATGACAAGTTGTGGATGGGCCAATTGGTAGCAGGGACTCCTAGAGAAGGATACAGGGACAGCCACATACAGAATTCCCTTCCACACATACTGGTGAGTTTCCAGGAGGAGCAGGGGCATTGGGGTAGCTGCCCTCGGAGTGGACAGCTGTGGGTCCCTCAGGACTGGGACTGACGGAAGCCCTCCCTTGCCCAGGCCAGGACCCCAACCCTGCAGGCCTGGCTGCAGGCACCGTGGTGAGCATCATCCTAGCCCTGGTGCTCCTGGCCGTGCTGCTGGTCGTGTGTGGCCCTCTCGCCTATAAGAAGCTGGTGAAGAAATGTAGGTGCTGGTACCCAAAGCCGCCTGCCCTTCATCACCCCATCTTTCCTCTCCTGCTCAAAGTAACAGAATGTCAGGAAAATCATACTCTCCAATTGGCCCATATCTGGGGCCCAGTAGGGGCCCACTACAGGCCAGATGGAGGCTGTGGCCATCCTCTGGGTTGTGGCAGGCCCGAGCTGGATCATTAGCACAGCCTCTGGCGCTGGAGACACAAGGCCTAGGTAGGCCCAGCTCCACCAACCATATGTCAGCTGCTTGCAGCACTGACTGAGCCACTTCCTCCCTGAGTGCTCATCTACACAATAGGTAACTGCACCCCTCCCAGGGCGTTGAGAGCCTTGCCCCGCAGAACTAAGGAGAAAATTACTCAGAGACAAGGAAGTGAGATTAAGGATGCTGAGAACAGAGAGCCCGGAGGTGGGCAGTGCTGGGTCCCTAATGCTCACCCAGGTCTCAGTTCTGGCTCTAAACATCTGTGGTCGCTCTTCTGGGAAACCAGTTGCATCGGCACCCTCCTGGGCACCCTCCTTTGGCCCCTGATGACTCCAAGTCCCTTCCCTAGGAAGTCAGAAAAGGAGGCCCTAAGAGACTGGAGGGGCAGGACCCACAATCTGCCTTTGGGCCCCTCCCCCCTCCTCCCACCATCATGCCCTGTGCCCTGAACTGATGTGCTTTCCTGTCTGTTGCCCAGTTCGCCAGAAGAAGCAACGCCAGTGGATCGGCCCCACAGGAATGAACCAGAATAGTAAGTGTCCCCAGAGGTCGGGTCCCCCCTCAGCCCCAGGACTCAGGCCACGGGGACAGTCAATGCCGATCATAGAGCTGGTGGCCACTGGAGGCTTCTGATCTCCACCGCATTTGGTTAAGGTGTGACCTGTGACCGTGGCCAACAGACATCCCCACACCCGGGAGGGCTGAGGCTTCTTCACGGGGCAGACAACTGAGTGGTTTTTGCCTCTGAAGCCTCAGACACCATGGTGTCCCTCTGTCTCTGTGGTTGACTTAAACAGCGGTCCCTATAGCCTTCACCTACCTTAGCAAAATTCTCCAACACAGTGATCAAGAGACGCTGATAGGTAGCACTCACAAAAGGGACTGCATGATCAGAGAGAGCTGGAAAACCAGGAGTTAAGCAAAGCTAACACGGTTCTACGTTTCAGGACTTACCAGAGCCTTCAAGGGCATTTTTGCAGTGTTTGTCTCCAAGGCAGGGGAGCATTAAGAAAGGTTGCCCCAGCTAATTTTGTCATAGAGAAACTTAAAATTTCAATGCAATCAGTTCGCTCCAGCCTGGTCTTCAGCCTCTCCTTCTGGTCGCAGCCAGCACTATCCTAATGGATCCGAGCCTAACTCTTTCCTGACTCCCGTTCTGCATCCTTCTCCCCTTTACAAGTCCAGGGGTAAATCCTTCAAGAAGATTCTAAAGTTGTTCAGTCTTTTTTTTTTTTTAATGACATTTCAAAATTCCTGGAGGACAGGGATTCCATCTTCCTATCACTGTGCTCCAAGTCCCTCTGGGTAAATGCCTATGGACGGACTGACGGCCTCAGCTGGCCAATTAGATTGCGAGCCAACCTCAAGATACTCCCAAAGTCTGCCACTACCCTGCTAGCCTGACACCCCCCCCCCAGGGAGAAAGGACAGGGAGGTGCGTTAAAGGGACTGTGGGTGTTCCTGCCCTCCTCACCCCACCCCACCCCCCGCACCACCTAGTGGAACAGGATGAGCTCTGGGCCCTTGCTGGGAAGGAGAGAGCACAGATCTAATGAAGCATCTATCTAATGCATCTGTGCAGTGTCTTTCCATCGCAACCACACTGCGACCGTCCGGTCCCAGGTCGAGAACCCCACAGCCTCCTGTGTGGATAATGAGTACAGCCAGCCCCCCAGGAACTCCCACCTGTCGGCCTATCCAGGTGAGCAACAGGGGGCTCCTAGGCCAGCAGGCAGAGTTGGGCCGGTCCTGTCACGATGGTCACGTGATGTCCTTGAAGCTCCAGTCCTTGTCCAAAGAGAGAAAGGAGACCCCAGGGGGCAGGGGATCAAACTACCCACTTGACAGCAGGTCACATCAGGGCTGTGGGAGGGACAGTCTTCATGGACCTCAGCTGTCCCTTTTGAGGCCTGAACCACTCATCTAGAGAGAAGAATGCACTTGGATGGATGTCATTAACCCCAGCCTCGCTGGGACCTAATGGGACTATTTCCCTGCAGGGAGGGCCGTACAGGCTGGATAGTAAATGAGGCTCCTCAGATTCCTTCAGCTCGAAGGGAGCCATTAAGTGGCCTGCGGGAGCCCTGAACCAAGGCTCCTCGCTGGTGCTAACAATTAAGCCCCGGGGAGCCTGGAGTTCAGCATCATTAGCCATCGCTTGGCTGATTTGATCAAAACAGATACCAGGGGCTGTCACCAGCTCATAAAGCCCCTGTGATCTTCTGAAGGCCCTTTTCTTTCCCCAGCTCTGGAAGGGGCCCTGAATCGCTCCTCTGCCCAGCCTGACAACTCCTCTGACAGCGACTATGACCTGCACGTGGCTCAGAGGCTGTAGAAGGTGAGTCTGTCCCTGGTCTAACGCCGGCACCAGGACCCCCAGTCCTGGGGACAGCACCAGGGTGAAGCTGCTCTCCTCATCCTACTCCCATATGTGAACAGGGGGCCTGAGCACCTCGATTCTCAAAAAAGGGCAAGAATAAGCACCAGCAATTGAGGCGACGGGGCCAACCTGGCGACTAGCAGAGGAATCGTGGATCTTATTTTTTTTTTTCTTTAAGAAAGAGTGAGAAAGAGAGATAGTTTAATATTTATTTTTTTAGCTTTTGGCGGACACAACATCTTTGTATGTGGTGCTGAGGATCGAACCCGGGCCGCACGCATGCCAGGTGAGCGCGCTACCGCTTGAGCCATATCCCCAACCCGGAATCGCGGATCTTAAATCCAACTCAGAAGACAACGCAAAAAGATCCCTGCGTGGAGAAGCCCCTGGCAGCAGGACAGCCGCTGTCCCAAGACTGAGCTGGTGTGGGCTTTCCCCCACCGCCCCCAACTCCTGTCCTTCTCACCCCAAAGAACTGGGAACCAGGGACAAAAAAAAAAAACCTAGAGCCAGCCGACCTGTCCTAAGGAAATGATCGTCACCACTTGGAAGCGATGCCCCCGTTTCCACTCCCAGCAGGACTTGGCCTGGACAGAGACTGGGGTGCCTTTCCCACACGTCTTCTGCCCTCCATGGCAGGCCAGCTCTCAGCCCCGCTCACCCCCAGGCCCTGACCCAGGGGAAGCCAGCTGCAACAGCTTGGCACCTTCCGGGCACCATCGCGGTGAGAAGATGGCACCCAGAGGCGAGCCCTTCCAGGCAGACTCGGGGTGTCCAGAAGGGTCCTGTTTCCTAAGCCTGGGCAGCCCCTTCCTCGTCCACTGGGGTGCAGCACTGAGTAGAATCTGGCCTTTTCCTTGGACTCTGGCCACGTGAAGAACGGGGAGGAACTCACACGTGGTGGGAGGCTGTTTCTCTGTGTAGTTTAAATCTGTTCTTTGTAAATAATGCTTTTTCTACTTCCTGAGAACTTAAGGGTTCTGGCTTCTTCTGTCCAGGGTCCACTCCTATGGATCCTTCTGGGAATGCCCACAAGAGAGACCTCCCGGGGAAGTCTGGAGCTGTCATGGTCAGAGCTGCACAAAGACAGCTCAGCGCCTCAGCATCTACCAGCTAGGGAGGGGTGGGTACCCAGGCTCACATGCCACACGTCTGTGACTCTCCAGGCCCCACATCTGAAGATACCTTCCTCTCCAGAAGGGCTATCAAGGGCAATGATGCCACCCCAGAGGCTGGCACAAAGGGGCACCTAGTGAGTCTTGGCCCATTAAGCTTTTGGTTTTAAGTGGCAGTTGAAAGTCCCAAGCTAAGGAAGTTTCAGCCAGTCACAGTTAACCTGTAACACGAGAGTCAGAGAAACAGCCTCATATGTTCCTTTGGATTAAATAACTCCTACAGCTAAAATAGTCTCCTCTGCCACTTGGAGATCCCAGACATACAGCTAAATCCAGCAGCACGGTTCCTTAACTTCAAGGGGAGGGTACCTAACCAGGAGCCCCACATCTGATACAGGGAGGGGCTGTGCTAGGCCACTGGGCCTTTGGCATCTGGCAGCCCCCTCAAAAGATGAAGCAGCTTGGTGGTGACCGGTCTTGGGTGGGGCCCTTCTCCACTCAACACGGCCCTGTACCTCCTGGGAGCACAAAAACTGATGATCCAAGTCACAACAGCCAACTCTGAGAGAGAAAAAGGGGAGATGCTGTGGTGTGTGCAGCGGTGGGTGCAGAGTTGGAGTGGGGGGGCAGCACTCCAGAAAAATGTCTGATCGGCGCTCTGCCCCCATACACCTTCCACCCAGGTTCTGACAGCCTAGATGGCTAAGTCCAGGTCACAGATGTGCCCAGCCGTGCTGGGAATCCAGAAGCAGGGTCACCCACCACCCTAATGTTACTGGACAACCCCTGGAAGCACTGGTGTGCAGCCCAGGATCTGCTACCTTTGCCTCGTGTTGAGGAAGGCAATCCAGAAGGAACGCTCCCTTAACCTTTGAGCAACAGGCCTCGCTTCCAAGTTATCGGCATTCAGGGACCTGGGGTTCAGGACAGGCCTGGGGGTTCAGGATGGGCCTGGGGATTCAGGACGGACCTGGCATCACAGCAGAAAGGACGTTTCAAAGGGCCTCACCCAAGTATCCCCACTAGGCTCAGAATCCCTTCCAGGCTGGACATGAAGGGTCTGTCCCCTGTGCAGGCAGAGGCCCCCCCGAGGTCTGGTGAGGGCCTGAGGAACGCCTGAGTGTGCCCCACCATCTCAGGCGTGCAGCCCCAGGAAGGAGCATGGAGCGCAGCTGGTGGCAGCTCACAAGTCTTTCCTTAGAAAGTTGGTCCTTGGTGCTCCTGCTGCTCTGGCACCCGACTAAGGCAGGTGACCTGCTTCTGTGGCCACAATACAGTCTATAGCTTTCCCCTACAGCTGGGCCATCTTTGGTTCTTCCCGAGGTCCTGTGTCCTCAGCCACAGACACCCACAAGGTGAGGCCAGTGTGCAGCCAGGACAAGGGCAGTGAGCACTGGACTGGGCTGGGGGCACTCAGCCATCCTGGAGATGATTCTGGCACCACAAAGGCACGGCAGAGTCCTGCAGCCTCTGGGATCCCACGGACCCGGGCCCCTGTCCACCTCTGCCCCCAGGACCCGGGCCCCTGTCCACCTCTGCCCCCAGGACCCGGGCCCCTGTCCACCTCTGCCCCCAGGACCCGGGCCCCTGTCCACCTCTGCCCCCAGGACCCGGGCCCCTGTCCACCTCTGCCCCCAGGCTGGACAACCTGGCCACCGTCCCACCTGGCCTGCATCTCCTTCCTATTTAAAAGTAGGGCTGAAAGGGCCACCAGAGGCTCAAGGAGAAAACGTGCATGAGCACGACAATGCTGTGCAGCCCTGCGGGGACATGGTGTTGGCGGCTGGGCACCCCAGTGCCCTCCACAGGAGGCTGCCCTTGTCACCTTGTGGGAAAGAACAGCAGAAGGGCTGACTTAAGGGACCGTCAAAACCTGGTCTCCCAACTCCCGCAAAGCTGCTGGTCCTGAAGAAAGCACAACGTCCTCCCCGGCCTCTGAAAACCAGCAGCGGAGCACAGGGAAATGCCAGGAAGAGGGCAGGCGGGTCCTTAGTGGACCAGCCAGTTTAGTGTCCCCTGCCCCTCTGAGCAAGCCCTGCAATTCCAGCTTCGAAATTGGATGGGCCATGGCCAGGTTGACCAGCAGACACTGCTGCCAGCCCAGCAGGTGGCAGTAATGTGCATGTCCCAAGCTGGGCTGGGGCCCAGGCGCCCCCTAGTGGGAGCCAGTGGCCTTGTATGAAACAGCTCTCCCCCAGGACAAGGCACAGGTGCAGGCTCCACCCAGAAAATACATAATGAGAACCAAAGAACAGGAAAAGCCAGGCCCAGCGGGTGAAGGGCTGGGGAGGGCAGCAGCTCAAGAGTGACAGCCAGCCAGAAGGTGTTCTGTGGACAGAAGCTAGAGGCCTTTCAGTAGAGCGTGCTTCTGAAGGCTGCAGAAGAAATTCAGGACCCCCAAACAGCCACATTTCCATTTCTAAGCCCACCAGAGTCACAACACTACAAGTTACTCATGGAAGTTTATTAGGGCAATTAATTACACGAACACACAGGCGGTCATTCATCCAGTCCAGAAGCACTCAGCAGACTCCATTAGTGATTTCTCTTCATAAATAACTTACGAGAAGCAAGCACAGTTGGAGAGGAACTGGCAGCGCTAATCTAGCATCACGCACACCCACAGACGGCACACAGGCCCGGGACGGGGGCAGGCACCAGAAGGTGAGGTTTCCTCCTTGGCCCCCACACCCCCAGGCCCACCAGAGGCTGGGTACTCGGGGAGTGAATGTCTCAAGGCACATACAACTTCCTAACCCGTAGCAGCTCCAGGATCCGCCGAGACCTGGTTCACATCTGGTACAAAGTTAATGCTTCATTCGTCACCCCCTTTGGCCTAGTGTAGTCATTTTTACTACTGCACATGTTTAAAAGCCCAGTGTGCTAGGGCTGCATGTGACCGTCACAATCCCTGCCCTTTACATTCTGAAGACGAGAGGTGCAGAGAAACTGACCCCGGTGTAGTGATGGTGTTTTGGAAAGCACCATTTGGGAAGTCACTGTTAGGGTGTCTTTCGACGATGTCTACAGGGATATGGGGACCAGGAAGGCATACATGGGGAGATGAAGGACAGAGGGGGTTGCTTGAGAATGAGATTCAAGGCACTAAAGGAATAGGTAGGTGGGTGGGTGGGCCTCAGAAAAGCCAGCCAGAAGTGGGGGGCCCTGAGAAGGAAAGGGTGGCTGGGAGGTGCCCCAACTCCTAGCTGAGCCCAAACGTGACCACAATCTCCCAGGCTAGAGCTTCTCCATTCCCCCAGCCAGAGGGTCCAAGATGACCCCTGGATCCTCCAACCTGCAAGCAAGGTTAGGGTCGGCTTCACATCCCAGCCCATTCGCTATGCAGGCGCTGCTGGCATTCAGAGCAGCACACGGAGCTTCTGTCCCCAGCCTACTGGGGTTAAATTATGGCTTCACAGGACATAAAATCACTGTTTTTTCCTAATTCTGTTCTCTCCCTCCAGACTACCCCTAGCTGGGGTATGTGAGGCAGAACATTCTTGAATGGTCTTACACCAAGAGCTGTATCCCTTGGATTGGGACTCCATGTCAAATATGCCAAATCCCAGGGGAGAGGTAGGGGGTGGGCGGGGTGGGGACCCCAGGCCACCTTGTCACTGAGATAACTCTGCAAGGAGTTCAGATGTTCTTGGAAGTGACACGAGAGGATGTGCACAAATGCATGCACACGCCACTAGCCCTGGCTCCCGCTGGCCTGCAGGACCTGCAACCTAGAGCCAGTTACCGACAGGAGCGGCTCCCAGGAGGGCCTCTGGCCAGAAGATCAGCAAGTTCTGCGGGCTTCTGTCATAGCCAACCTGTCACACACACCCTCAGTGCCTTTGGGGGTCCTGTATGCCCCTGGCCAGGTGCCCCTGGGGCCTCCTTGTGCTGATGCAGGCCCACGGGGAGCACTAACTCACTTCCCATTAACCTCAAATCTCAGCGACAGGTGGGCTAGAGGCCGTGGTGCAGGTGGAGGAGGGAAGGGCCAAGGAGCCAAACCACGGCTAGTATCCAGGCCAGGCAGGGCCTGGGGGTGGGGAAAACCCATATGGAGGAGTGGGCCCTGGGGGATATGGGGGCCGAGGGGGCACTGAGGGCTGGGGCTGTCCTGGGAAGCCTGGGAGCAGAGGCTGTGTTGGGTAGGGAGGCTTTCCTCCTGTGGGGAGGTAGGGGGTCTGTTGAGGATAGCCAGGACTAGGGGCCCTGCCCCCCGCCAAGGGGTACCCAGGGCCAGAGGTGCTAGTCGGGGCTACAGGAAAGCCCGGCCGAGGTGGAGTGCTCCTCTGTGGGGACCAGGGGTAGCCTGCAGCAGACCTGGGTCCCGGCTGGGCTGACGGGTAGGCAGGGCCCAGAGGCCCACTGTACGAGGCAGAGGGCTGGGCCACCACAGGGAAGGGGGCCGGCTGCAGGGCTCCCTGGGCAGTGGGGCCCATGGGCAGGGCGGGGGACGGGCTGTAGGGCAAAGGGTAGGGAGGCACAACAGATGGCTGCAGAGGCGGCTGTTCTTCGGCCACAGGGGGTGTCGCCTGAGGGCCTGGTCGCAGGGGCAGGGGTGGCGGACGGGGTGGAGGGGCATCTCCAGCCAGTTCCTGGGAAGCTCGGGGCCTCCTCACCACGTCTTGGAGCTTCTCCACTCGGACCCGGCGCAGATGGGACAGCATCCTCATAGAGGAGAAGTCCTCTAGAAACTTTTCCAAGGGCACCTCGCCCTCCAGGAACTTCTCAGCCATGGCCTGGAAAACAGGTCAAGTGACAATGGGGGCCTCCCACTTGCCCCTGGGTCAGAACTCTGCCGAGGCCTGCGCTGAGCCCACCTCGGGCTCCCCAGCCTTCCCAGCCCCACCCTGGA